ACACACACACACACACACACACACACACACACACACACACACACACACACACACACACACACACACACACACACACACACACACACACACACACACACACCACAACACACACACACACACACTACACCCCACACACACACACACACACACACACACACACAAATATCATAATATATATATATATATAATATATATATATGCTTCAGGAAGGAGGGAACAGCAGAGAAAAAAATATTAGAATAACTATGGGATTACATCTCGAGTTTTTTTTTCTTTGAAGTATGTTTATTCTCCTCTTAACTTCATATTTCTCAGTACAGGAAGTTACAGGATAAGGGCTGTTATCCAGTTATCCTAACTCAGCTTAGCTCAGCTCATTGTAAAACTAAGTTTTATCTATATGTGTCGTGCTTACGTCACTGCCTGTGTGCGCGAGTTGGAAAAATCTACTGATGTTAGCAGTTAGGTACGCACGTAGGATACATACACGAGAATATGTCGTCTCATTGTATATACGCTGAGGGTTTAATTTTATACTTATTTTACAGAATAAAGTAGTCTTGACTATTGGTGAACAGGTGACAGACAGCTTCAGTGACACCTTGAGTAGCTGATAGGCTTTAAGCCCAATTAACACGCTACGTTATGTAAGTGAACCTGTTCTTGCTAAATCGCCACCATCTGACCATCACTTTATTAGCCTTCCCCAACGACACTATTTACCCCCTTCGTTTCTCCAGTCTAAACCTGAGTGGAGACCACTCTGGTGAACTTTACGTCTCGTACTGACAAACAAAGAGCTCTTGACGTTGAGAGAGCTTACATCGATATTATCCGCATGCCGACCTACGGCAACCGGGCTTTATTTACATGTTCTTATGTTTCAACACTTACATCCTGTTGCAGTAATCTTCAGTTTAAACCTTTTACCCTAGAGTGGAAAGCTGTAATAATCCTCCCTCTTCGAGAGCCAGGTACTTCAGGCCTAGACACATCTAATTATAAACCCGTTACTCTTACGAGAGGTAATCGTAAATTATTGGAACATTTAGTCAATTGCGCCTCTTTGGTACATAAAGAAACAAAACTCTCTTCCTCATCTGTGTGGTTTTAGATTGGGTCGTTCCAACACTCACCTCTTTCTCCAACTCGATACATAAAACTAGAAACCTTTTTGCAATCAACCAGTTACTGTTTTTATTTTTCAGGCAGCATCTACCTGAGTGTACAGTACTTTGTTCAAGCTTGTTCTTTATTGGTGTTTAAAAAATCTATTACAGGTACTTCAGTGTTCCCATAAATAACATACTTTTTCCAGATTTTGCTCAAGAAGACACCTGCCGTGTTCATCCCATAAACATCTGGTCATCGTCATGTATAGACGGTAACAATGAGGTATATAACACTGACATGTTGAGGTAAAGGACACCTGAAGAAACACATAAAACATTTTATTACGAAATATTTCTGTCCCCGGATACTGTCAACTCGTTTAAAACACTAGGTTCGTGAAACATGATATGTAAAAGAGAGGCACATGTAAGGGAGTTAATGTCAGATGGGAGGTCTGGTTTAAGCCTCGTGGATGCGAGATCACCAGATAACTGTGTTGTTATGTGAGCGTGGCAAAGCATGGTAAAAAATTACGTTGGCCAAGGTAGTTGAGATGCAGTAATTACCCGCTCTCTGTTCCATAGTGTTAAAATCAGCGATAAGAGAAGTTCATAATTACTCACTCCTTAGTTCACATTCGACAAAAAGTACGTTAGTATCTCTCCAATTCGTGAGGTGGTCTTTGCTATTCTCGTGGATTACACATGCATTGTTCTGGTCATCCCAACTACACATCTATTTGCGATTACTTACCCTGGTCGATAGATTCTTTACAGTTTCTGCCGCTTGCTTCCTATCACATTGTACTATCCCATGAAGATATTGAGATATGAAGCGTGTTGAAGCGCCACAAAATGAAGTTTTATAGCACCTCCGACACCGACGCAGGATTCTCTGCTCTGTACCATGTGGACGTTGTGGCAAGGTCGATGAGGGAGAGAGAGTTAGCGAGAGGCCTAGATAAGAAGTTCAATGAATATAACTATGCATGCCACATTGAAAATAATCATAATGCATGTGTCATACATTCATTATGATTAATGAATGTATGACAAATGCATTATGATTATTTTCAATGTGGTATGAACATCCTATGAAATGAGACGAGGCTAAACTCAGCAGAAAAGAATTATACAAGCGACGTTACATAGAATCTATCGTATTACGTCTTTATAATACAGTTCTAAACATCGGAAGCTTTAACATATCAAAAACCTGACCTTATAGACTCTATACTGGACTGAAGAAACTAATGGTTAAGGGAAACGTCTTCTGTATAACAGTTCTCGGTGCGCTGCATACTGTATGTTGGTACTAATTATTTTGTGCGATCTACACTTTGTCCAAAGTCGATTATTTTTGTCCATGATGCCTTCTGTCAATTTCTATGAACAGTCTAAGTGAAACCTCTATATTCTATAAGGTTTGAACTTAGTACTAACTTATTAATAATAACCAACAACGAATTCACCTCAATTCTTCCTTAGAGGATTTAATAGTCTTCTCAAAATGTGGAGAGTTTCGCCATGTTTAGGTTGAAACGGACAGTCACCTCGTAGCTACCCTCTCCGACACACTGTTGACTCCACTTCCGTTGGATAACCTCTGATGGCATCATATTCCGTGGATCCAAAAAATAATTGGGTCCTTTTATGCAGTCCTTCTTCATGTGGGTCTAACTTTTTCTACTGGATATATGCTCATAATATAATTCCTATTCTATGCTGTTTCTGTATGGTTTCCATATTATTCTTTGCCAAATTATAAAATTTCTTCTTTCTTCTTTATAGGATGTCATTCTATAAACTTTACTGTTGAGTTTGAGGAAAATAACTCATTGCCTTTTCTAGATGTTTTAATTATTAAGAGTAATAATGAATTCAAATTTAAAATTTACAGAAAACCTACAAATAACTGTTCTTATGTACACTATTATTCTTCCCATCAAGATAGAGTTAAACTGTCTGTTTCCTCATCAATGTTTTTGAGAGCTTTACGTATTTGTAGTCCAGAGTTCATAGATGAAGAAATATCCAAAATTTATGAAATAGCCATTGATCTGAAATACCCGAGAAATGTAATTGATAAATCATTTAAAATTGCTAGAAATACTTTTTACAACCCAAAAAGGGACAACCAAGCTTATTCAACTAAAAATATGTTGGTTCTCCTTTACCATGAAAACTTGGTTGATATGCCTTCTCTTCTTAAGACTTTTAATATTAAAGTTGTATTTAAAAATCTTGATACAGTAAAAAAAAAACTTTTGATAAAGAATTCCCCCCAAAATGCTGATGGATGTGTCTATAAGATTCCTTGTAAAATTTGCGATAAAGTTTATTACGGTCAAACTGGTAAAAATTTCGAACTTAGATTAAAACAACATAAATATAGCATTAGAACTGGACAAGATTCCAATGCTTTATTTATTCATGTGAGAGATTTTAACCATCCAATTGATTTTCAAAAAGTTGAGAAAGTTGTATCAAGCAAATCCATGGTTGACAGAAATATAATTGAATCTTGTTTCATAAAAAGCAGTTTTGAAAATAATATGAATATTTCCTTAGGTTTATATAAATTAGACTCATTTATAATTAATAAAATTTGGTTAGAGTTTAATAATACATTGGACAAATAATAAACCTTGTTCCTTGTGTAGAATATTTTGTTAGTGGGATGTCGTGAGGACCTGTCTAGTTGGATCAGCGGACCTACTGCAGTGTTCCTCTTTTCTTATGAGTCCGGTATTGTCGCGCGTCAGGTGTTTCTTTGTTGTGGGGGTTGACTGTGAGGTGTAGTCTAAGCCCTTTAATTGCCTTACTTTGTTTGTATTACTTTCATAGTTCCTTGACAATGTGAGTAGTCACGAAAGAGCTTGGAATTTCACCACTCTTTCACAGTGGTTGTTTTGCATTATATATATATATATATATATATATATATATATATATATATATATATATATATATATATATATATATATATATATATTATATATATATATATATATATATATATATATATATATATATTGTTATAATAATAAAAAAAAATTTTTATATATCCATACGTTAAATTCCATTGCCGGTTTCTATACCGCCTCCAGTATCAAAACAAGCTTAAGTTTTACTTACTACGGTAGCAATTAAATATTTTTCCTTACCTCAAGGGGTTAAACTGTGTGTGTTTCATTATCTCCAGAGGTTATCATATATGTTTCATTACCTCAAGGGGTTAAGATGTGTTTCATTGCCTGAAGGGGTTTCCCTGTGTTTCATTATCTCAAGGTGTTAACCTGTGTTTCATTACCTCAAGTGGTTACCCTCTGTGTTTCATTGTCAAATGGGGGTTACCCAGTGTGTTTCACTGGAAATGTTTACCAGTTTTTGTATTATATTGGGTACATTATGAAGGTTGCGTGTTTCATTGGTCAAGGTGGCTAGGGTTTCAGCTTGAAAACTAAACCAAACATTGAGTTAGTAACAATGTTTATAAACCCCCTGAGGGAGGATATACCTCCCTCAGTACGCTAAACAATTTTCCATATTTGATGTTGCGTGAACACGTTATTCTAACATCCGCACATGACGCCCATACTTATTCCGTATTGCAGTTTGGGAAATCTTTAGTTATTCTTTAAAGTCTTGATCCCTGAGTTACTTTGGTCAGTTGGTACCAGTGTTGTTCTCCCTGTAGTGCAGGAATTAGGGCTGTTAAGTTACTTAACTGCCCTAATGCCCGTACGTCACCTAAGTTATCGTGATTGTTTCACATTGTCGTCTTCCTCACGTCTTCGAGTTTCTTAAAACTAATGGAAAGAAATACTCAGTATTTTAAATTAAGAATTTATTTTTCTTAGGAAAACTTTACACCATCAAGTAACTGAATTGGTCACACAATATATTTATAAATATATTTAATGGATAAAATAAATATCATATAGTATAATGTGCAAGAAGATTAGAAAATCAGGAAATTAAATAAAGCCGATGAGTTATACGGTCTTCCAATATGAAGGCTGAAGCCTGAGGGAAGAAATGGTGTTGTCATGTTTGCAGTTTTATGGTGTGCCATACAGACTAGACGGTGTGGACACACTGAAGCCGCTGTCTTTCACACCACCTCCAATTCCGATACCGGTTCCGATTCCGGCTCCGATACCGGTTCCGATACCGATTCCGATACCGCCTCCGATACCGCCTCCGATACCGCCTCCGATACCGCCTCCGATACCGCCTCCGATACCGCCTCCGATACCGCCTCCGATACCGCCTCCAATACCACCACCGGTACCGATAACCTCGCCGCCACCATGAGCGGCGGAGCTGAGGGCGGACTGGAGGTCCTCTCCTGTGGGCAAAGTTGGGTTATCACCTTCAGCATAGTTGACGAAGTACACTTGAGGAGTTTGTTGCTCAGGTGCTGGTACGTGTACGACCTGTTGGTCCAGTTCAGGCCGCTTGTTGAGGACGTACACAACATTTTTCGTTTGTGGTGGTGGTACAATAATGGGTTCTTGACCTGGTCCGGCTTCTGGGGTGCGGATGAATATGACATTGTGTTCTATCTTTGGTGGAGGAACATTTGGTCGTGGGCCTACAAGTGGGGCCACTGGTGGAGCAGTGTACACGTACAAGTTTCTGGTGACTTGAGGAGTCACACAACTTCCGTCCACATGACGGATCTGTCCATCTGCACAGCCACCTCCAATGAATCCAGCGCCACCACCGAATCCTATACCGCCAGATAATCCGGCACCACCACCGAATCCTGCGCCAGCACCGAATCCTGATCCACCAACGAATCCAGATCCACCAGAGAAGCCAGCACCGCTGATGCCTGAAACACCACCTAAGGAGAGACCTGGACCAGAGGGTGAGGAGACACTGTAGCCCTGGAGGGTACCAGCGGCTGCCGCCGCAATCAGTGAAGCAAATACCTGAAACACAATACAGATGTGAATAGTTAGATACAATATAAACATATTCACCTAAATCCCACAGTAAAAGTACCTTAAAAAAATGCTCTGTTATTTATATGGCATGAAAATTTTATTTCTGGTATGAACCATAGCCCTATGACGTAGGATTTTCATATATTTTGCATTCAAGTATGATAAATATTTATATAGTATGTAAGTAGCCACAAATACTGCAGGCGCTTAATTTACTGAAATTAAGAAACAAAAATCTCTAATAAAATTGACATTTGAAAAGTTTGTAGTCAAAAATTTCTATAAAAACTTTCTTTTCACATTTATTAACAGATGTGTTATTTTTTTAAATTCTTAACTTTGGCTTAGTTACAGATTCAGTTCCATGTGTAAGGTGACATGTACTATTGGCTGGGTGTAAATTATTTTCAAAGTTCGTTATGCAGGTCTGAATGATTCACTAGAGTTAATACCTCTTACGTTATTACGAAAGTTTCTGACGTCCCATCAGTTATTTTATATTTTCTTTTATCTCAAACATTCAATTATATTGGAAGAAAAAAAACTGATAGTTCCTGCAAGAGAACGTGTAGCATCGTAACTTCAATACTGACATGATAAATAATAGAGAAATACAACCCAGTCAGCTGTTATAGGTCAGAGAAAAATTAAGTAACGTTGAAATACCTAAGTCACGCGAAGAATACGAGAGGGAGAAGAAAACGTCTTTGATGCACAACAGATTCGGTCGCTAAGACCACAACCGATCATATGGTAAAGACAACCTTTTCAGAGTATCTGAACTCATCCCTCTCCAAAGAAATTACTTTTATGATCAAAGTATATCGACTGCCCTGGGAAGTATACGCTGAGCCTTAGTTACAGTGGTCAGAGAGCAATGTATGCTACTAAGTTAACCTTTCAGATGACTGTATTTGTGTATACCTGAATAAACTTACTTACTCACGGATGTGGTCGTGACGATCAGGTCTCGTCTAATGTCTTACTGATACATTGTTTTTGCTCCTCACAATACCTGTATAGAGAAGAACCTCGTTTTGTATTTTATGTGTGTGTGCTTGTGGGGCTGCTGGTTACTAGCTAGCACCAACTACTGAACTGCTAACTGAATTAACTCCGATGTAAATGAGTTGTGATGGTGACATTAAATTTTTTACTAAATGAAGAATAAGTTGGATCACTTGTCGTCCATGTTTGTGTAAAACAAGACGAGTTCTTCAGGGGACGTAAACCACCAGGTGTAGCTCTGTGTATAAACTAAAGGATGTATTATATGGTATGTACGTGTAAATCTCAAGTTATAAGCAACGACAGGTGTATATATGCCGTATGGCGTATCCCAGCATGCATACGTACACATATGATTTAAAGTAACTCTCTGGTTATTACGGGTTTTAAAGTATGCTGTCTGGTACGTTATTACGCTAACTGCGACTATCAATCCCTTATATTGTCAACCGGCAAAACTTGCACTTCAATTTATACTACCGTTTTTAATACAAAACTGCATCGTTTTGCTAGTAGTAGTAGCAGCAGTGAAAGAAAGAATAATAATAATAATAATAGTTTTGACCTGATTATTAGCAATTATAGCGTAAAAAAATATAGACTGGAGAGTGAAGGGCTGTGCTTAAGAGGATGAACACAGTGTGATGGTAACACTGTGTTGACCTCTGCACCCGAGACGTCATCTTGCTTAGGTCAAGATGCACACCTGCTGTAGCTTAACCACCTGAAAACGGCTTTTTTTAAGATGTACAGTTACCCGTTTTACAATTTAGATTTATAAACATCCCGCTGCCAGCTTCATCATAAGCCATGACCTCTTACTCATTAATACTGAAAGCCAAGTCTCCACGCACTTCTCTCTGTCTTGTGGAAGAACACTAGTCAGTCACACTTCTCTGTACAACTTGTGCCGCATACCGGGCTGCCTATGCTGTCTGTGGCCTAATTGAATTCGTTTCATTTTCTGGTAATCGAGAGTCTACCAGAAGTTCGGAGAGATATTTGGTCTCAAGTTTAATTTTATCCCAAGTCTCTCAGGTATACTGTACAAAGGTCATTGTTTATCTTGGTGTGAACAGTTTTTTTTCACTAGGAAGGATTATTTTTAGTTTATGAGTGAGTGGTTCCAGTGCTCTGTTAATTATTAAAAGTTTCTTCCACACACTTCGCTTTCATGAATTAGCGTTGTTATAATCCCAAACTCACCTATCACTTATTACTTAATGCTATCACAACACCTTAAAAAAATGGCATTACTAAGGTTCACAGCGCAGCGAAATTGTCGATCAATATTACTGTAATCAAAATCTTCACTACTGACTCCTGACTGTCAACAATCCATGTAGGTAAATGAGAGGCAAACGTTGTTTTTAATACACCGAACCGCGCAGAACCTGGCTGCTGAAACAAATCTATTAATCTAGAAGAAAACACTCTCACTTCTTGGTGAGGTGCTAACCGAGTCTCTGGTGCTAATGTTAGAGTACAACTTAACTAATTTGATTGATAACTTCCCCCATTTAAGATACAATAGTTAGCAGAGCAAACTGAGACTTCGCACTTCGTGAACGTAACGAATTGTATAAACAAGGCGTCATGCGACTTGGCATAATGGGAGTCTCTCTCCTGCATCCCTATGTCACGGTTCCACATAAGTAAAAATGATGATTTTTTACATAATCTTTAGGTCGTGATAGGTCTCACTGTTGCTTAAATTACTCCTCATTTAACACCCGGAAACATTCGAGATTCGAGGTAAAGTTAAATTTATATATCCTTCACACCTGTCGATGGAGGCCGGGGTATTTCATTTGACAAAATTTTTGACTTTCACAACAGTGTGAAATCTCAGGTTGCATAAACAGGAAGTGCATATGAGTTAATCTTTCCACTGAACCTCGAGTGTGGCCAGGCGTTGTGAAAAACGTGATTTGTGGTAAAAGTAGGACCTATCACGACCGCTGGATAATGTAAAAATCCTTATTGCAATACTCTTGTGGTACCATGATGCTGGAAAAGAGTGGGGCCTACAGGTGAGGGAATGCCATCCAGCAAACGCGGGTTCGAGTACGCAGGAAGACTTGTTTTTACACAATCTGGCCCAGTTTGGTGGCATCCTTTTACTTCGCATTACTGGATGGGTGAACCTCATGGCATTGTCTGGTGCTCATCTTGGGTCACCACCTGCTAGCTACACTGGCGGCAATGGATTGAAACACACCACTCTCACTTTACCCAACCGGTCAGTGGCACCGCGAGTCGTGGAAATACTTTGCAGCAGTGAGAAGCACCGCAGCACTAAAGGAAAGACGGTAAGAGAGGCTGAAGGAAGCACTCACCAGGAGCTTCATGGTGGAGTGTGATGTGCCAACCAGCCGGCGCTGTCTTTATATAGTGTTGCTCTCACCGTGACAGGGTAGCCTTGAAGTCTCCCGTCTTCCATAGCTCGCGTTCCTGCCCCACTCACCTTTCCCATTATCCTCTTGCATTCACGCAAGGTAGCAACCACGGTCAACACCTCACCGGAAATTGCTTCCCTAAATCACTTGCTCTTGAAATTTTAGCGCAATCTGTGTGTATTTGCATGTGTTAGGGAAGACAGTGTTGTTTAACAGTCCTTTCCCATTATCCTCTTGCGTTCACACAGAGTCACGTGTTCACCATCACGACCTCACTCGACAACTTGCATATTTTGCTCTCGATGTAATAGTGCAACCTGGATGTCTGAGGTGTTGGAGACGGCCCTTACGTTATCGAGGGCTCAACGTTATCGAGGGGTTCACTCGTTCTTACGTTATCGAGGGGCTCACTCGTTCTTACGTTATCGAGTGGTTCATCGCTATCGAGGGGCTCACTCGCTTTTACGTAGTTCCCGAGGCACACTCTTAAAATAAAGGGTGCTGTAGGTGTTAAACTGGATTAAGTGAGGTGTTTCCTTGTTAAACTGTGTGAGGAAGATGTTTCCTTGTTAAACTGTGTGAGGAAGGTGTTTCCTTGTCAAACTGTGTGAGGAAGGTGTTTCCTTGTTAAACTGTGTGAGGAAGTGTTTTCTTGTTAAACTGTGTGAGGAAGTGTTTTCTTGTTAAACTGTGTGAGGAAGGTGTTTTCTTGTTAAACTGTGTGTGGAAGATGTTTTCTTGTTAAACTGTGTGTGGAAGGTGTTTTCTTGTTAAACTGTGCGAGATGGAATGTTTTAGTGATAAACTGCGTTAAACTGGGCGTTCCCTAGTTAAAGTGAGTGATGAAAGGGTTTCCTTATCAAACTAGGATAAGTAAGAGTTTGTGTGTTAAACTTCGTGTAGTACGGGTATTGGCTTCTTTGTTAAAATCCGCTGAGTACGGTCTGTTACACTGAACAGGATAGGGATTTTACTGTTAAAATAAGCCATGTTAAACTGAAACGGGTAGAGGTTTGACTGTTAATCTTGACCGAGTAGAAATTCATTATCAGACTGGGCGTGGGAATTCCATTGTTAAATTGTGCATGGTGTTGGTTTATTATCCAACGCCTAGTGTGGAACGGCATCAAACTCGCGGGAAAAAACAACCACAATACAAGTGGAAAAAGGAAGCAAGAGGTCAAGGCAAGTGGAAGTGTTCGTGGTGTGAGCTTCACGCGTGTGTACACTCGGCTCAAGAAGATGAGCGTGTAGGTAGACACCCCAGTTCACTGCTCCAGTCATGGTGGTGAAGAGTGGTGAGGGTTGTGTATCTGTGCTCACTCTCATCCATGGGGAAACAAATCTTGCATGGAGAATTACCCTTCTCACTGTCTGGATTGTGCTGAAAGGGAGGTAGTCTTTGAAATCCTCGTGGACTCTGCGCTAAGGTCTGTAGCTAAGCAACCTATCACCCGCTAGTCTCTTCAACATGTGCTGCATAATTGTTGCAATCTGGTTTTTATCTCTCCCTACCACCCATTCAATTATTACACAGACCCTATACACCTAGCTTCCCTCCTGATCCCTTACCTAACTTATATATATGGTACCACCTCTAGAACTGGGCTGGGGACCCTCATCCTCAGAGAAGACAATAAACGTACCTCAGGGAAAACTCAAGATTCTCCCCGGAGCTGTTTGAATATTTTCTTCTCCTACCATCCCATATAGATATATAAGTTAAAATAGGTGTCTCTTGTGTAAATTTTCTTATTTAGATGACCTCGCCTGATCCAGTGTATGTAAATAGTCAGTGCCTGCCTGCCTGCCTGCCTGCCTGCCTGCCTGCCTGCCTGCCTGCCTGCCTGCCTGCCTGCCTGCCTGCCTGCCTGCCTGCCTGCCTGCCTGCCTCCAAATGATATATTTTTCCTTTTATATAGTGGCAGTCGCATAACAATAGTCCAGACATACTCGCAACAACACACAACACAAGTCCAGACATCCTTCCAACAACACACACTAAAAATCCAGACATTCTTGCAGCAACACACAACAAAAATCCAGACATCCTTGCAATAATACACAACAAAGTCCAGGCATAAACAACACACAACAAAAGTCCAGACATTCTTGCAACAACACTTAACAAAAGTTCAGACATCCTTGCAACAACACACAACAAAATGCCAGACATCCTTGCAAAACACACAAGAAAATTCCAGATAGCCTTGCAACAACACACAACAAAAGTTCAAACATCTTTGCAGCAAGACACAACAAAAGTCCAGACGTCCTTGGGACAGCTCTTCCTTCAATAATTGTTGCCCTTCTAAGTGGAAAGGTCTATTGCAGTGCTTCGCTATTCTTTTGTTTTTGTGTTTAAGGCATCTCATCCCGAAGAACAAACACCCAGAAAAATCTCACACTTCCAAATAAGAAGGACTAGCATGAGAGGTGATCTGAACACCTTCACGTCACCAGAAGTGCCGGCAGCCAATAATGGTGTGGCATCAAGAATCTTGAGAACTCAAGCAGCTTCGCTCCGACAATATGGTCCTCCACTTAACCGGCAAGGAGCCGCCCACTCATTTTCTACCCCTGTACCCCAGTAAATACGTGGGTTCAATCTCATTTATTTTGTATTTGCTAAGGTGGGAATATACAGACTATTATTCTTTTTCGTTTTTATCTCGTGTGGGTTCCCCCCCCTCTCTCTCTCTCTCTCTCTCTCTCTCTCTCTCTCTCTCTCTCTCTCTCTCTCTCTCTCTCTCTCTCTCTCTTTCTCTTTCTCTCTCTCCCTCCCCGCTCTCTCTCTTTTTTTTTTTTACACAGGGTTTGACAAGGTAAGGTTAAGGATCCCTACCTATATTGACAAGCTATTTGCAGGTTAAAGATTCCTAACTTTATTGATAAGCTAAGAGCTGTTACCTACATCAGCTCATTTGAAAGCATTTTTATTGTTATGAGACATACAAGTAGGGAACAGGATAAAGTTGGAGCCATCTGTGGGCCAGCATTTTCATCTGATCAACTGACTTTATCTCGTTGACATTATAATGCTGTACGAATGTGTTCCAGACTTGAGTCATCCTGGGGATAAATGATCTCAGATGAAGTGATGTTCTGGAGAAGGGTACAGCTAGAGTGAAGTTGCTGCTTACTGCCCGTCTTGTGGTATAGAAGCTTGCTTCACGCTGTCCTCGAAGTGGATCACTCTCTCTCTTTCTCTCTCTCTCTCTCTCTCTCTCTCTCTCTATATATATATATATATATATATATATATATATATATATATATATATATATATATATATATACAGAGAGAGAGAGAGAAAAAGAAAGACAGAGACAGGAAGACAGGCAGAATTTACTGAGGCTTCCATATAACGAGAATTTTGCGTTCTTGCCTAATGGTCTTATAAAAGTTAACATACATGTAGTTTTAAAGAATTCAGAGGCAGTTAAGATCATGTTAATGAATTCACCGAAAAAAAACTCAGTAGGAGAGGGAGAGGTATACAAGGTGTCATACAGTGGGTGCAATTTGCTTTACATTGAGAAGACAAGTACATCCCCTAGAATCTAGGTTAGCACAGCAACAGTACTTGAACCGGACAGTGCAGAAGTCACTTGCAATAACCTTGCTGGATGGTCTGATGCCCAAATAATATATCCTAGTTCGTCAGGAGTGAAAAGACGCATCTTAGTTCGTCAGGAGTGAAAAGACGCATCTTAGTTCGTCAGGAGTGAAAAGACGCATCTTAGTTCGTCAGGAGTGAAAAGACGCATCTTAGTTCGTCAGGAGTGAAAAGACGCATCTTAGAGTCGGCGATTATAAAACATGTTAGTCTTTCCTTGTATAATAATAGCCATGGCTTGTTCAGGCTTGATTCTTCATTAACTAAGGCCATTGTCCATAACCGTAAGCCTGGTAACTATTACCATTACATTACCTATCGCGGAGTTTTTAGGCTTGGCTATCATTTTTATTTTTTGCTCATTTTTTTCCTTGATTTCTGGCACTTAGGGTCGCACTTGAGCTAGGACCCCTAGCTACCTTCTCCAGTCTTTCCTGATTGGACTGCGTCTTGGAACACCTACTTGGGCTCTCCTAATTTCAAATTCCGTCATTCCATCACGCATCACGAAGAACAAGATGGGTCGTCATAAGATTAAATTTTATTTCAGGGCACTGTCCTTGTGTGTTGAGGAAGGCATGAAGGTGTGTGAAGCCTAACCCCCATCATGCGGCAGGTGTGGGAAGCCCAGCTGGTTAACCCCACTGTGCGGCAGATGTGGGAAGCCCGGCTGGATATCCCTGGTCAAGCCCTCATGGCGTCTTGTTTATACAATTTGCTACCTTCACCACTGTCTAAATTTGTTTGCTCTTTCCTAATATCCTCCACCGCGTCAACATAAGATTTATTCGTTCCTCTGAAATGCCCAACTCAAGTAAATGATCATTCCCACGAGATTCTTGCCCAAAACTGTGTATAAGCGAGTCTTTATCAGTGTATATATCATATGTATATGAGAAGTGAAAGAGATGAAAATGACGAGGCAGGTGAGCTGTACCTTATCACTATGCAGACTTCGTTCTTACAGGTTACAGCGCTCCTAAATACTTGATGGTGTCATTGAGTGTATTCCAGTTAGTTGTGACCCAATACCTTCCAGTGATCCTTTGTTGTTTTCATATGGGATGTATAACCTAGCTGGGGTACGCCAGTGGATGCTTAAACATTGACGGGTATCATCTGATTAAAACCCATGTCATGGTTAATTGGGCTCAAAGTATCGACATACGAGGGTCATTAAGGCTGCATGTCACTGATTCACGGCAAGTCGAAAATTCTTTAATCCCAACTATGGGCGTTTTGGGATTTAAGTATTCTATGCACACGCATACACACACACACACACACACACACACACACACACACACACACACACACACACACACACACACACACACACACACATACACACACAC